AAATTGAACATTAAGATAAGTACTCTGGAAAGCTACAGTTAACCAGTTGAATACCCCAATATCGAAAAATAAGTCTCTGTTGTTCCAAACTATTTTTTAGCCTCAACAAATTAAATTCTTGGCAAATATTGGTCTCTTGAAATGTCGAAATTCTACTGCAAACACATATCTGTATGTATATATTATACACATATATTATTTTTCTTCCATGACAAAGCAATACTTATAAGAAGCTATGGTCAACATATTTCAGAGTTAGAAATGTTCTTTGTTATATTTGTTTCTTCAGCGAATTATGAAACTTGAGTCTGGCAAAGAGCATTTCTTCATTTCTGCTTGGCGTGCATAAACGATATTGGGGAATTGTGTGGGGTGATTCTGAATGAAGCGTAGCACTCGCATTTAGTTTAATTAAATGAGATGAGGGTCCGAGACGAACGAAGCTTCAGCAATTTCACGATTCCGCCAACATCCTGCTGCTCACTCACAGTCACGCCATCAATCAGACTTGTCAAGTGTCAAGCGCCACTTTCAAACTACACGAACTGACAATGACAACGTTCTAGGCTAAGCGGGTAGTCGGCACAATAGCATATTGCCCCCGCTTCGCCGCGCCTCTGACATTTTTAGTGTTTACAAGCGCAAATCTTGACACGAGCCTGTTCCTAAAAGTTCCTCCAAGCGGCCGCGCACTCATTGCCCGTTTGCCTTATTTTGATTTCTCTTGCCGCCGTGACAGTTGACATTTCAAGTAGCTAACTGTGTACATAGCTGCCAAAGGATATCATTATTATACATACATACATATATACACTTGATTTATTATAATTGATTACTGTGATATGAGGCCCTAGGCAAGTAAATACTTAAGCACCTGTGTCACAGTGTGCGAAGATGCATAACAAACAGCATCAATCTCATCGTAAATACATATATGCATGGGTTTGTGTATATAGGGATGTTGTACTTGAAAAATTTTGGTTTTTATTTACAATTTTTAAAAGTTTTTGACGAAGGGGAATAATAAAGTACCTAACATAGCTACTCAGCGGAAATTCGAACCTATCACTTCATAATCATTGTTCATGTTTTGCCATTTATATGGTATAACATCCATTAGCATCGTCTGCTGAATTTGGAATTCGCTAATCAATTCTGGTCTTCCTTAAGCGGTAACTCTACCACAAATAATAAGTTGATCACATATAAGAATTTGCCAGCATTATAAAATGGGTTTGGA